AGGGAAAACACATGTCCTCCTGGCCAAGTGGGGATGAACATGCCGCCGAGTCAAGTATTCAGAAATCACATCTCTCATAATCACACCCTGATTGGCTGCTCATTCTCATTAGTCTGGTTCTCAGAATTAGCTGGTCATTTATTTACAAATGATCATCTTTCTGATGGTGTTACTATTTGTGGGTTTTGAATGGTTCTCCTGCTTAGGCAGAGCCTTCCACAAGGCAGTGTGAAAGAAAAATATACATTTGCACATGTACACGTTACCCTCAGGAGTGATGGGCAGCCTTTGAAAAGATGCTTGTACAAGTCCTCAGCCAACAGCAGCTACTGTGGCTGCTCTGCTCCCAGGACAGAGGTCCAGTCAGTCTTGCTTCATCAGCCCTCACTAGGTGAGCGGCCGTAGTGCGGTCTGGCCTAGGTCTTTTGACATATGTCACAAACTCAGAGGGTTTTTGTAAAACTTTATACTTACACTTATTCATCAAACATGATAAATTTTGCTGTTGAATTTTCACCTTTCGATTTGGAATTTCAATTCCATCCTATGACTTTGTTTCTCAAAGCGGTGGGTCTGTGGACCAACAGCACCAGCAGCACCTGGGAGCTTGTTGGAGATGGAGAACCTCAGGCCCTGCCACAGACCTCCTGAACCAGACCCTGTCTCTTAACAAAATCCCTTGGTGCTTCCTGGGCACATCCATGTTTGAGAAGCTCTGCTCCACTTCTGTCACCTTCAGTCGCCTTCAGCTGGGTGTTTCCACCCAGTATTTACTTCGAGGCTAGAATTTTTGGTAGGCTTTCAGATCTTTTAAAAAAAGACACACGCACACAGAGAGAAATTCTTTCCTTTGTCTTTGCATGATGTCATTCATTTTACCTGGCCTGCCACAAGAAAGAAAAAGGCAAATTACATTCAAGTTATACATATTTTTAAGACTAACTTCTTAACTGCATCTCTTAAAGCAGCATGCTGGATCTCCCATCATTAACAGAATCCCAAGTGTTGCCAAGATTAATTGAGAAATGCCTAAAGGCAAAATAAGCACTGTAGCATAGTTTAATTCAAAACCGTATCAGCTAAGAATGAAGGTGCAATTAGCGATGATGTTAATAACTGATGGTTGTGGTCTGTTAAATTTTATATTCAGTGGTTACTAGTATATTCAGTGAAGATATTTCCTCATGAGGACAGAAATTAATGTTTCACCTTGATTGCTACTTAATGTGCTTATTTTAATGGAGCCATCTTGTAGAAACCCTTGGGCACATTTCCAATTTTATGTAAAAGTAGAATTATTGTGGAAGCATATGACTTTAGAGCTGGAACGACCTTCGCAGTAATTTAATCCAGTTCATTCATTTTACAAATAAGTAAGAGTTATATGACAGACTTAATTAAGTCATTCCACAGAATATTGGAACCTGTGCTTCCCAAGTCTCAGACTAGTGGCTGAAACTTTTCCAGATCTCTCCAGTCAAAAGTTCTTTCTCTTGCTCTGGCCGGTGTGGCTCAGTTGGTTGAGTGTAGTCCCATGTACCAAAAGGCTGCCAGTTTGATTCCTGGTCAGAGCACATGCCCAGGTTACAGGTCAGTCTCTGACATATTGGAGACAACTGATAGATGTTTCTCTCTCTCTCTCTTTCTCTCTCTCTCTGTCTCTCTCTCTCTCTCTCTCTCTCTCTCTCCTCCTCCCTCCCTCTCTCTCTCAGATAAAAACAACAACAACATATTAACAGGAGAAAGTGCTTCCTCTTGCCTCACAGTTCTGAGTGCACCATTTTTGCAATGCCTCCAAAACCTTTATCTTGCTCTGCATTATGTTCCACTTGCTTTTAGTTGTAAGGTTGGGGTCTTGGGGAACTAGGCTTGATTCATTCCTGTATTTCATTACCATTCCTATATTATGCAAACAGCTCTTTTATAGTCACTTTACATGCATTGTTGTGCTGGACCTGGTTTTCCTCTCCTCACTGGAGCTGATTGTGTCTTCACAATGACAGCTTGAAGTTGGCCATGCTGGGAGTATTTACACCATGGAAGTGAAAAAATTCTACAGATCAGAACTTTTATGCCCTGGAATGCCAGTTGTCAAACATTTCCCAGCACACTACTTTTTACATGACTTTCATAAGGTCTTACAAGGCAGCAGGTCTCAATAAATCCATACCAGTGTGTAGATGACCATTGTTCAGCATGGGTTGCCTCAAGAGTGATGTGTAGCCAGTTGCTCAACCTCCTCCGGTTTCTTAAGGGAGTAAGTCTGACAGTGCAAGTCAGGCCTAGGACTACATTAGAATTTGGCTGCTTGGCTAAATACTACTTATCTAGAAATGCTATTTGGACATGAATGGTAATGGAAACAGGGTCTGAAATATCAGGCATAGTTGAGTGAGAAAAAACCCACAAACCACTATCAGAAAAAAATGGACAGGAAGTTACTAGAGCTGAAATTACAATTATATCTTTATACTTCTCAAAAAACCTTCAGTGGCTCCTTTCAACCTATAAAAATACCCAAACTCCCTGACATAAGTCATGTACAGACCACAGCTCACCATCCTAAACTCATTTTCAACTGTTTACATCACCCACCTTCATTCTTTCTTCCAGATGCTGCAGAGCCTGTTCCAGCCCCCAGAACATTCCCTCCTCCTGGAATGCACCCTCTGCCTCCCTGTCCCACCACGGGCTCTCTCCTAAACCTCTCTACCAAGTCCCTCTACCATGGACCAGAACTTCTGGGAGAACGTGACCATTCCCATGACTGTTCATCTCTTTTCTTGTGTCTCTGTAGGAGCAGGACCCGAGGTCCCATCGGCCCTGGCAAGTATGGCTATGGGAAAGCCCCATACATTTTACCACTGCAGACAGACTCCACACACTCACCACAGAGGCTTCGGAGGCAGAGGTCCTCGTCCCGGCATTCCAGGTCCCAAGAGGCATCGGGTCCTAGCTATGGCTATAGCCCTCCACGTGGCCGGGCCCCCCACCGTAGCCCTCTGTACCAGGGTGACAGTGGCCCTCATTCTGGACTGCAGGCCTCAGAGGCTTCCATCTACCAGCTGCCTTTGACCCATGACCAGGGCTTCCCTGTAGCTTCAAGTTCCTTGCACAGCCCAGAAACAAGCAGCAGCCATGGCATGGGGGCCCACAGCACAGCCCTGAGCTTCGCCCAGCCAGCCCGGTCTGCAGCAATCTCCTGCATTGGGGCCTATCGCCAATACAAGCTGTGCAACACCAACGTGAGTACATGCCTCTTCTGGGCCTGGGGTGGCTGCTGGCTTCCCTTCCTGTTGGGTGGCAGTGAAGATGTGGAAGGCAGCAAGACATAGTTTTCTAGGCCATGTTTTTGGAATTATTTTTGGAGGGAGGAGTGCAGAAAGGAAGAAAAAAATAAAGGGAAAACATTGCTTTGGGAATAAGAGAAATCTATTAAGTAATTACCTATTTCATGGAGTAACTAAAACACCCTTATTTCTTAAGTTGTTGGTGTTACTAGAAAGATAGGTGTGGCACATCCTGATCCAAAGTATATAATCATCATAACGAGTAACCGCCACTTGTTTTCCACTGGAAATGGCAAATTCCTCCCTGGGTCCTCCTCACAGTGGCTCCTACGGACCATGGAAGTTGTGAACTTCGAGGTGCTCTGTCCCAACATAGCGCTTTTAGAAACCCAGTGAAAGGTGCCGAGACCAAAGGAGGAGGAAGTGGTAGTACCACACAAAGTCCTCCTTTTTTCACAACCAAGTTCCCCTGCGTGCTAGGCTGTGGTTTTCAGTTTTTAAAGCTTCCTTCCCTCTCATTTCCCTCCATTTATTCTCCCCCAAATAACTTCTTGAATCACTTATTGACAACCTATTGCTTCATATCAAACAACTTCCAAATTCTCAGTGGCTTTATGTCAACAATTTCTTTCTCAGGGATCTGTGGGTCAAGTGCAGTTTGGCTAATTTAGGGCAGCCAGTGGTGGCACCAAATAAGTGGGAATTTAGGCATTTGACTAGCCTCAGTATCACCCAGTCAGTTTCCTTGGAGACTCCCTGCTCTTCCAGGCATACACACACTTTAGATACAGATCTTGAGAAAGTCTGATAGTGAGTAATTGAAGATTTCACAACTAATGAATAGCAAAGGAAATTATAAATGGAAATTACACAATATGACCAAATGTGTTTAAAAAAATATCAGTTTAAAAAGTATATATAAAAGAGAAAGGAATGGAGAATGTGTAAAGGTTAAATTTCCAAGTTGCTATATTTTTTATTAATAATTTAATCTGCTTTAATACTCTGTTACTGGGTAACAGGACACCTGTTATATATTAGCTTCAATTTCCTCATTAAAAATATATTTCCTGCCATGGAGTCCATAGAAATGACTTAATTTGTGATTTTAATAATTTCTTTGAATTCCTGGATTGCTTTTTAGCTTGTTCTTCAACTGACAGACTTCAGGAATTATTAATTTTTGTAAAGCAGTAATTTTTCGAAAGCCATTACTAATCAGTCAACCAGTAAGTCTTAATTGAGCATCATTGCTCGTCTTGTAACAAATTTGTGAGGACCATAAATCAAAAAGAAATGTTAGTGCCAGTGATTAGACATTGTCCCTGTTCATTCATTGCAATTCTTTTAAGATGAAATGAATTCATTTCCAGTGGAGAACTCATTCTCCCATTGACTAGTCTGTTTCTCAATTTTGAAGACCAAGTAAATCAAAGATAATGGAAAAGGGAGAGGGTATTTTGCATATATGTGGACCTGATATCTTCTAAGCATTTTTTCATCTAACCTACATTTCTTTAGACGGTGCACTTCTTGCCAGACCTATGCTTCCAATAGCAGGGCTGTCTAGCCCATGTATCAAACATGGTTTCTCTAGGTTCTGAGGTAACTCCACTACTGAGGAGATTGAATTGCAATGAATCTTCAAAAATTCTTGTGAATTCAGTATATTTTGGAAATAGGCAAAACAATGTTTCAAACCCAGGACAAAGCTGTAGTAGACATAATAATAAAATATTGGCAAAGGATCATTCAGGTTTAATTGCCTTCTCTGCTGTAACATTTTGCGCAGTGTCCTCCCCAGTGCACCCTATCACCCCAAGCCACATCCTATTTACTCTTATTGAGTAAGCATTCCTTAGCAGTTCTGTTACTGTATATCTTCTTTTTATAAGCCCATGGCTTCTTGTGACTTGGACCATACTTTATGAACACTTTCATTTTTAAAAATTATTTTTAAAATAATTCCTATTTCTCAATTACAGTTGACAAACAATATTATATCAGTTTCAGGTGTAAACCCCAGTGATTAGACCAGCCGTGGGCAAACTACAGCCCGCGGGCCGGATTCGGCCCGTTTGAAATGAATAAAACTATTGAAAAAAAAGACCGTACCCTTTTATGTAATGATGTTTACTTTGAATTTATATTAGTTCACACACTCCATCCATGCTTTTGTTCCGGCCCTCCGGTCCAGTTTAAGAACCCATTGTGGCCGGTGTACTTTGCATCCCCGTGACTATTTTGTAACTATCCAATTTGTACTTCTTAATACCTTCACCTTTTTCACCCATTCTTCCAACCCCTCTCCCATTTGACAACCATCAAAATGCTCTCTGTATCTATGAGTCTATTTCTGTTCTGCTTGTTTATTTTGTTTTTAGGTTCAATTATTAATAAACATGTATTTTTTTCAATTTTATTGTTCATATTTTTTATCTTTTCTTCTCTTCTTCTTAAAGAAGACTCTTTAACATTTTGTTTAATATTGGCTTGGTGGTGATGAGCTTCTTTACCTTTTCCTTGTCTTGGAAGGCCTTTATATGTCCTTTGATTATAAATGATAGTTTCACGGGCTAGAGTAATTGATCTTGGTTGTATGTCCTTGCTTTTCATCACTTTGGATATTTATTGCCACTCCTTTCTGGCCTGCAAAGTTCCTATTGAGAAATAAGCTGACAGTCTTATGGGAGCTTCCTTGTGTGTAGCTGACCGTTTTTCTCTTGCTGCTTTTCAGATTCTCTCTTTGTCTTTAACCTTTTGCATTTTAATTATAATGTGTCTTGGTGTGGATTCATCTTGGGTTCATCTTGTTTGGTACTCTGCGCTTCCTGTACTTGTATGTTTATTTCCTTCACCAGGTTAGGGAAATTTTCTGTCATTATTTTTTCAAGTAGGTTTTCAATTTTTTGCTCTCTCCCTTCTCCTTCTGGTGCTCCCATGATGTGAATGTTGGTCCCCTGAAGTTGTCCCAGAGGCTCCTTACATCATTGTTTTGGGTTCCTTTTTCTTTTGCTGTTCTGATTTGGTGTTTTTTGCTTCTTCTATTCCAAATTGCTGATTTGATTCTCACCTTCATCTACTTTACTATTGATTCCCTGTAAATTATTCTTCATTTCAGTTAGTGTATCCTTCATTTCTGAGTGGTCTTTTTAATGTTTTCTTTGTACTTTATCATGCTGTTGAAGTTCTCATTACAGTTCCTTGAAGTACTCACTGAGTTACGTAAGCATAATTATAACCATTATTTTAAACTTGTATCTTGTAGTTTTTTTTGCCTCTGTTTTATTTAGTTCTTTTTCTGGAGATTTCTCCTGCTCTTTCATTTGGGACATGTTTCTTTGTCTCTGAATTTTGGCTACTCCCCTATGTTTGTTTCTATGTATTAGATAGAGCTGCTAATTCTCCCAGATTTGATAGAGTGATCTTGTATAGTAGGGTCCTGTAGGGTTCAGTCACACAGCTTCTCCAGTCACACAAGCTAGGTACTCAAGGTGTGCCCCTGTGTGGGCTATTTGCACTGTCCTATTCTAGTTGAGCCTTGATTGCTGTTGACACACCCCTCCCCCCTCCCAGGCCATTCAGCTGTGAGGACTAGCTGCAACTGCAGTGTAGGAGCTGCTGTGCAGGAGTCAATCATATGTATTAGGACTTGCTTCAATGTGGCTTTGTTGCTCACCAAGTCTACCCTTTGAGTGTGCCATTAGTGGAAGTGGTAAGGTTGAAATCTGAGGTGGTCTGAGGCTGTCCACCAGGTGCACTGGCTCTGGGGCATTCCAGAAGGTACAAGGTGAGCTGCCTGTGCCCTGGCTGGGGCCACTCAGCACAAGATACAGAATGATCTGCAGATGGCTGCTTCTTGTGCTGTACTTGGAGGTGCCCAGGAGAGGCTAAGTTGTGAAGGCCTGCTGCTGCTAGTACTGGGCCTGAGGCCCTTAGCAGAAGGTATGGTGTATGAAGAGGCCAGCTGTTGCTTATTTGAGAGATTTTAAGGAAGTCCAAAGCACGAGACAAGAGAGGCCATTTGTATGAAAAAGCCACTGGAAACAGCTTGGGTGGGCCTGCAAGTTGTGTGGTGCTGGGGTCTCAGGGAATCACTAGAGCAAGACGAACAATGTGAGCCATGTTGATGAAGATTCAGTATGGTGCCCACATGCTGGCTCTGTGGTTGGGGGTCAGTCTAAGAAAAAGAACAATGGCCTCTGCCATCACTTTTGTCTGGCAGAAAGCTGTCCCCCAGCTCTCTCCCTGATGCCAGATAATTCATTTCCTCCACACATGTCCCTGGTACTTTTTAAGCTGCTGCCCCAGTGCTGGAGCTTAGATCAAGTGAGTCTGAGTAAGTCCATGTGTGGGCCCTTTAAGAGGAATGCCTGGGACTCCAGCTGTCCTCTGTTTCACTCAGCCACTGGTTTTCACAGCTAGAAGTTATAGGGACTCCAAGTCCTAGCAATGGAACTCTAGGCTTGGCGGCCTGGTGTGGCTTGGACTCGTTTCTCCTCAGGGGGGACCTCCATAGCTAAGATATCCCTCCTGATCTTAAAATGCCACTTGTAGGTGTAGGACTAGCCCATTCTGCCTTTTTGCGCCTCTTACCAGTCTTGATGTGGCTTCTTCTTTGTATTCCTAGTTGTAGGACTTCTGTTTAGCTAGATTTCAGGAGGTTCTAAATGATGGTTGTTTTGTAGTTTAGCTGTAATTTTGATGTGGTGAGAGGATTTGAGTACTGTATTCACCTTCATGACCATCTTGATTGGAAGTTTTATACCCTGTAAACACTTTAAAACTCTCTGTTAGGGGTCCCCAAAACCACACCTAGGTTTGATGATTTGCCAGGAGGACTCACAGGACTCGGCATGTAGTCTACAGTCATATGCACAGCTATGATTTATTACAATGAAAGGATATAGAGAAAAATCTACAGAGAGAATAGTACATGGGGCCAAGTCTAGAGG